CCTTTCTACAACAACGCCGCTGACTCCCAATTGGTAAATTGATAGTTGCTTACCGGTCGAAAGTCGTTTCAAGACTTAAAAGGATTATTTAAGTCAAATTTCGTGCAAATTTGGCACTGGCAAACCATATTTTATAGTTCTTGAATACAAAAGGTAAATAAAATAAACACTTAAGGACTACAAACTAAAAAAATGCGATAATACAGCCAGAGGGAAGTAGCGGCAACAATGTTTTACTATACACGTGCGACGCGTACTACAAGATAATAGAAGAATGAATAGTCGACCTCGCGTCTAATCGGTGTTGCCATATTGTAAAGGATTTATCATTTTTACATAGTATCCGACTTATAATATAGTAGTATCAGGACTATTTAATACATCTATAGAATATTAAAATCTACTTTATTAAAATGCAGTATTAATATCTCAATATATGTATATAATAAGTAAAAAAATATTGATAATATTAAAGACGTGACAACATAGGTTCGGTCGGCTGCGGTCGACTGTACCCAGAAGTAAACACGTGTACTAAAAAGATTGTTTGACCGCGTTTAGATGTAAATAGTGTAGTTTTTTAATAGCGCCAAACCAAAACTGCCGACTCGGTATACATTTAAAAAGATGTACTAATTAGCCTATATAAAATTTCTATCGGTTTAAAAACTTTAATTGTAAAGCTTCAATAAATTGAAAAATTAGATGATACTAGTTAAAATAAAGCTGCACTTAGTTCAAATTTATTAATCTAAAATTTTAAAGTGACGACTGGCGTAAATTCCAAAAACTTTGCTTAATTAAAAAGTTAGAGGCCATAAAGTCATTCTATATCTGGCGAGTTTGGAAACGTATTGTGGCCCAGCAGCGGCAAGACGCTGAAATGAACCGAACTTTATTAATGGCAAAATTTGGAAAGTGGCTAACGAATAATTTTGGATTTTGAAAGCAAGTTTTTATTGAATAATACTGGGTTTTATTCTGAAAACACATTCAGAATTTATGCCGAAGATTTGTTTTGCCATTTAAAATCTAAAATTGCAGGCTTTTATTATTATAAGTGCGCTTTTATTATTTATAAAAGTAACGCTTTTAATGTTGGTTGTAATACGTTTCATTACAAACAGTATTTTAATTGGTAATTTGTATCAACAAAGACACTTTGCTAGGTTTTTGAAAATAAACAGATTAAAAGAGACGAATAAAAGCAATTATATTGTCATGCGTTTGGCCTTAGCTTGGTTCTTTTCAATTTAGAAAAAAATAGAAAGAAAAATATAACATAATAATTATAAAAAAAAAGTTATATAGTTAGTGATTAAAAATAAATATTTGCGGAATTTACTCAGAAAATTCGGAGAGTGGGGGCGGGTTAAGAGCGCCACTAACTTTAGACGGAAAAAGTCAGAAATCCCCCAAGGTATATTTAGGGCCTCACAAGTTCCACAAATACATAAATAAAATTAAAAAAATAAACAGTATTTCAGAGAATTAAGTAGACGTAGGGCCAAAGGAAATATAAAAATAATAATGCAAACTGATTAGCTTCAGTACCTCTATTAAAATATAAAAAAATAATAGGAAACAGTAAATAGAAAATATCAAATAACAAATAATAAATTAAATAAATCAATAAAAAAATTGTGCACCAAGAAAAATATTTATCACAATACGCAAATAGTAAAATTACGTAAATAAATTGGTACCTTCCGTGATCACGTAAGATTTACAAAAAAAAATATATATGTATATATCAGCGCAACTAAATTCAGATGATATATCAAATTAATCAATCAACTACTAATTACAAAAATAAATTCAGATATCGATAAAAAAAAGAAATTAATAGATTTAAATAGAGATAAAAGAAACTATGTCAGCTATATATTAAATTTACAAAAAATATTAAAGAGAAAAAAAAAATGAAATATTATTTTATCTGGCAGAGTTATAGTATGTGAAAATTTATTCTAATATAATGTTAAAAAAATATATCTACGGTCAGTATTTGTAGGCAGCAATGAAATTCAAATCGTAAGATAGAAAAACATAAAAAAAATAAAAATTGAATTTTACGATACCAAATAGATGATTATCTTCTCAATCAATATCTTGGCTAGATACCGTCGGCTGTCAACTGTCAACCGTCGACTGTCAACTCTTCCAGAAAAGTAAAATGGATACAGCGAAAAAAACTGCTCCAACAAAAAGGCTGGCTCAGAGAAAAGTCTTCAACACAGAAGAAAAGCTTCTTCAACGCAGAAGAAAAACCTCTTCGGTCCAGACAAAAAAACTTCTTCGGCCCAGACAAAAAAACTTCTTTGGCCCAGACAAAAAAACCCTACGGAGAAATAATATTATAGTTTCTCCATAGTACGAGATACCATAAAAAAAGATTTTTTTTAAGAAGTTTTTTTTAAGAAGAAAAAAAGTGGAAAGAAATGTATTAATTAAAAAAAAAATAGGCTTTATCTGCTAACTCAGGGTTTTCTACGAATCCTCAAGTGATTAAACTTAGGTCTTCCCCTGGATGGAATGGGGTGCTCGATGAGAAAAAAAAGGCGGGCTGCTTGGTTGACCCACGTCAGCTTTTTGAGGTGAAAATCCCGTCACCGGTAAACTGTAGCACCGTCCAAAAAAATAAAAGGCAAGATAGGGTGCTGCAGTAATTTTTGAGGCACACTCGAAAATCCCCACAAGGGTAAAAATCAAAAAAACTTGACAAAAATACCGAGAGGCCTCTGTACCTCACACTAGCCGAACATAAAGTGACCAAACCAAGGTAGTTCCAAGAAAACGAAAACCTTTTTTGCAACAAAGAAATAGCCAGATAAAAACACGAGCCCTTGATAAAATATGGATTGCCAACTATGAGCTGAATAAAGACATGAAGAAAAAGTTATATGTTAAAGGAAAATAAAGTTAATATCAATAATTTATATAATTAATAGAATAAATAAAGTTAACGAGATTAACGAAAGTTATATTGAAATTTGCTTATCAAAACATTCAAAAATTAATAAATAACAACAATCTAGAGTTATTGCGCATGACTCACTTACCGGATCGATAACGATATTTTAAAGACAATTATGCTTAGAAAATTTTACTTAAAAATTAAAATAGAACAACATAAATTTAATGAATTTAACTAAGTGACAATAGGCTCAATAATTAATTACTGTTGATTAAACAAAATACAAAAATATATAATCAATTTATTAAAGTAAATTTTGGGTTGTCTGATAGTTGATGTTAATAAAAATATAAATAAATATTTGACGTTTCAATTCAAAAATTTCTAACCTAAGTATTTAGTAAATAAACAGAATTAACGACGAGAATTATTTTATTAAATCGAACTAGTTTTGTGCTGCAAAAAAAATGTTATTAAGTGTGAAATATGTTTAGTTAAAAATAAGGATGGAATAATTACTTTTGTTGACATGTAAGTACTATTTATTTATTCGTGGTTTACTGAATGGAACTGATCGATATTTCAAAATAATAATAATATCTACTAACGTTAAATTATTGAATAAAAAATAATAAAATAGTTTAGTGAAATTTTGGCACGTTACAATATTACTGTTAAAATACCGTATGATCGAATAAAAACGGCGTCAGCGATGACCATGAAATGTCGATCGATGACATTTCCCATATAATATTACATATAAAATGACAGCGATCTTCATTTCATAGCCATCGCTGACGCCGTTTTTATTCGATCATACGGTAGTTATATATTACTTCGCACTGCAATACAATAAGTTGTACAAATAAATAGTTTCATATATCAATAATCTACCTATTAACATTAGCATAGTGTCAAAATATATGTTCACAAACTTAGCTTATAAGTGAGTTAAAGCCAGAGAGAATGGTTCTATTACTCTACGAAAGAGTTTTATATATTCAATATAACTCAAATTCTATGAAAATAATATGAATTGACGTTTGTTTAAATTAATTTTTTTTGCTATTTTTTGTGGTTAGCTGTGCAGGCTATTCACTTCATAGTCATACCGTACTGAATCTCGCTTTTTTAATATTTGTTATTTTAATATTATATTATTATTATATTTTAATATTAAATTTTAGCAATATGTAAATTTTGAGCAAATAAAGTATTTTATTATTATTATATATATTTTATTAAATTTTCATTTCTTTTAAAAATAACGAACTTCTATTCATTATTATAATATTAGAATCATAAATTAATAAGTTATGAAAAAGTAGAGTAGATTTTTTTGGTATATCGGTTTTATATAAAATATTTAATAATAAATAATATTTAATAATTTAATATCAAAAAAATAGTTTTAACTTATACAGTATTGAAATGCGCTATCGGATTTTTTTAGAGCTTACCTTTTTGTAAAACCAGATAATAACGGCATATTGAAAGAGATATAATCAATTAAATGGAACTGAATAAAAGATCTATAGTGGAATGTCAATTGCTTGTAATTTACAAAGTGCAATACCTGGACATTATGAAAATCAATACATCAATAATTCAGATAGCTTAAAATATTTAAATACGCTACAATCTATTCAAAGCTTTACTTTGAAGAATTTATATTAGCTATAAACAATGATTTGTTATAGTTTAACACATGAACTATTTTTGCTGGTCAATTTATAGTATATAAAAATAAACAAAGTATATAAAATGTAAAGCTTCAATAAACACAAAAATAATATAGTATAAAATATTGTATTTATTATTACAATATTTATTTGATTATTAATGTAATTCTAAGTTTGTACTAGATTTGTACCAGATAAAAATAAAGCAGTTCTATAAAAATCGTTTTTCTACGCAAGTGAAACATAATCTCTGTAAAATTTAGAAAATTAAGAAGAACAATAAAAAATCAATGAAATCATGCAACTATTCGACGCGCTGTATTTTTTTTTTCAAGAAATTCGTTCTCAAAAAAGCTATAGAAAATATTTGTGACAAACTTGTTTTATTTTTTCTGGTTTAGATTGCTCAAATGACTAAACCACAGAACAGCGGTCTGGGAATCAGTCTAGAAGGAACAGTTGACGTTGAAGATGGTATAGAAGTCAGACCTCACCATTATATCAGAAATATTTTACCAGATGGTCCAGTCGGAAGCAGTGGAATTCTTCAATCAGGAGATGAACTACTTGAGGTATTTTATATTTTTTATTTGTTTATGTTCACTTAAATTAGAGAAAAATCTAGATTATTATCGTCCACTGGCTTTTAACTTTATATGACTAGAAATATTTTTTTAGTCAGCTTCCGAAAAAAAAATATCTTCTAGAAAAACTATGCAAGATGGCGTTTTTTTCATAAAATGTCGTAATAATGTAGTAGTTAAATTTAAGAGGCACAAAATGTAGTAAATACTAACAGCCTTTTTCCCAAAAAACAAACAAATGCTTGTTGAAATTACAAAGCCTTTCTTTTTACCCTTGTCGTACCACTTCTATGTGTTAATTTTTTGTAAAAGTCAAAAGTTAATGAGTTTAGCAAAACATAGATACTCCAAATCTCATAAAAATTGGAATATTGGTACTTAAAATATCTTAAAAAATGTGTGTTATTTTTATACAACCAAACACTTTTGCATAGAGGTAAATTGTATTCAAATAACTTATTTTGATTTCAAAAATACTTAGTTTCTTATATGTTCATGGAATATTGAGATACCCTGTATAATAATGATATAAATAGGCTATAGTAAAATTGTAACTGTAAATAAAATGTTTTTCAACGATATACATATAACTAAATTAAATATAGCATAGTTGAAATATCTATTCTTAATATTAACAAAAAAGATCAAAGTTTACCCTAGGGAGAAAACTAGAACAAAACTTATTTTCTAATTAATTTATCGGTAATTTTGCTAAGTAATAGTTTTAATTTCTTTAAAAGAGAATTTATTCTTAAATGCTGTCCAATAATCTACAAAGATTTATTGTGTTTTGGTATAAAATTTGGATTTACCTTCATTTTTCTTCTTAGGAAGCGCTATAAATTATTTCCTATTTTTTATTGTTTTCTCTCCAGTCTGACACTTGATTAATAGTGCTTTTATACCGAAGTTTTTTCTGTTGTTTGTTTCGTTTTATCTACTTTATTAAGATACTACAAATAAATGAGGAATTTGTTTTTGTCAAAGAATGTTAAATGGCCTATATCATTGATAAATTCAAACATATTAAAAAATATACATCCTGACATCTCGTAGGTACATGAAACATTTCGAACACTTAATATTATGATAAAATTATTTTATTTATCCTTGAATATAACCCAGGGTCGTTCAACAAAGTTGAAGAGGTAATATTTTGACTAACTGTTTAACAAACAATTTAAAAGAAATAAAGGAACCTACTTTGTGTTAAAAATATTTTTTATTGTGATTACCTCGGTTGCTCTCGATAGAAGCAATATTTGGATATTTATATATCGATATTTAACTAAACCGAAACTCTCAATAAATTTTGAACCATATTTGAGCACTATTTTCCAAATAAAAAAAATTATAAATGTTATATCTTGTTTTCTCTTCAATAAATATGACAAATATAATAAAATTGTTTTTAGGTGAATGGAATCCAACTACTAGGACTGAACCATCTAGAAGTGGTAGCCATTTTAAAGCAACTCCCTACATTTGTCAGTTTAGTTTGCGCAAGGTACCCTGTTCCTATTAGAATAATCGACACGTCACAACATCCAGATGCTTTTCAAGCCAGGGTAAGTGTATGAAACCTTTATATTGTATATATTATTTCAATCACACCCTTACAAATTAATTTATTTTACTTAATAATTTTTTTTCTTTGTTAGAAAATACTGGCAGGTAGTTTGCAGACCTTGATCCAAGCAGGTGACCAAAATCGCTTGGTTAAAGCAAAATCTGAAACATCTATAGCCTCGAGTTTAGGCAGCGAAGCTTGCACAACTAGTAAATCAAGATCACTCGAGTTTATAGCAGGTCTACCCATGTGGAGTGAGGATGTTACTGTGGTAGAATTAAACAAAGGTGATCATGGATTAGGATTTTCAATTTTAGATTATCAGGTAAATACTGTGTATATAAAACATAGATTGTCGCAGATCGTCTTGTATATGTTCATTAGGGTGTTTGTTATTTACCAAGTTGATCATTTCTCTCACGACGACGCCCTCTAAATTTTTACTTTAACTAAACCATTTAAATATAGCTGATTTATTTTAATAAACATTCTTCAGTTGGTTTTTTGTAATTAAATACTGCAACAGAATATAAGCTCAAAAATAATAAGTATTAGAATTAACTACCTGTCATACATTTTTCAAAAATAATCATATTTTTTTCAAACAAGTGAAAAATTTAGGAATTTACCGATATCTATCTCTTACAATTTTTCGATAAACCTACTCCTTCTAAAGTTATTCACGGCTAAAGTTAAATACTCGGTAAATTCCTAAATTTTTCAACTTTTTTGAAAAAATTATGATTATTTTTGAAAAATTTAATCTATTATTTGAAAAAAAAGCAATTTTCATGATACCATATAAACAATTTTGAATCATTGTAAACACTTGAATACATGACAGGTAGTTAATTCTAACACTTAACTATTATTTTTGGGCTTGTATTCTTTTGCAGTACTTAATTAATTAATTTTAAGTAAGTTCGGTAAACTTCTGTTATTTTCCTAACATTTTTTTTCTAATGAGTTGACGATTTGAATTTATTTTTACAAACATTCTTGCCAACATACAAAAAAAATCAAAATCCAACTAATCCAACTTTAATAAACCTAACCAAGAATGTTTATTAAAATAAATCAGCTAAACTTAAATGGTTTACACTTCATTAGACTTGAAGGGTTTCTTAATTCCCAACCTTAACACCATCAGAATTGTCTTTTTTACAGTAATAGATTAAATTTTTCAAAAATAATCATAATTTTGTCAATTGAAAACTTTAGAAATTTACCGAGTGGTTAACTTTAACCGTGAATAACTTTTGAAGGAGTACGTTTATCGAAAAATTGTAAGAGACCTATTTTGTAGAGCGTTCAATTCTGTACAAGAACAAGATCGAGAAAAAAACATAATTTGCCAAAAGTGGCAAATTCCCATGTTATTTATATGGAAAATGAATCGTCTTTGGGGCAAGGTTTAATAATATTAAGGGTTTACAATGGTCTGTGATTTTTTTAGACAACAAACTAAAAATTTAGAGGGCATCGTGAGAGAAATGATCAACTTTGTAAATAACGGACACCCTAATGTTCATATACAAGACGATCTGCGAGAAAATACGTGCTATTATACTAAAATGTGATGTGTTTAAACAAATAAAATAATAGAAATTTTTAATATGTGTGTATTGTCCATTTTTTTGTTTGTACAATTTTAATTCTATGGAAATCTACGTTCAAGACTTGAAAAAAACATGACTGTCGAAACGTTGTCAATGAAAATAAAATTATAAACGAAATCTAGTAACATCTTTAAAACCTCAACGACCTAAAGCTAAGAATAAATAGAAAAAAAAAGATATTAATAATGTGATATGATAATATAAACACTATATAATTGATTATGTTCATATTAAAACAAAAATACCACCTCCTTAATATTCTAGGATCCGCTCAGTCCTCTAGAAACTGTGATAGTGATCCGTTCGCTAGTACCAGGTGGCGTGGCACAGTCCGACGGTCGTTTGATACCTGGCGACCGTCTATTGGCCGTCAATGACGTCAACGTGGAACGCGCCACCCTCGATGCAGCCGTCCAAGTACTGAAGGGTGCGCCTAAGGGCGTGGTCAAGATAGCGGTGGCCAAGCCCCTGAATGGAGGGGATGCTGTTTCCGATGCCAGTCAGGTGAGTTAATAAAAGGGTGATAAGAATTTGACTAATAGCTTATTCAATACTAGTTGGTTATCTTATGTCGGATTTATCTACTTTGAAGTATGAATCAATGTGTAATGGAAACTTCTTAACAGTGGCGTGCAGTGCGAATCAAAGCAGGGTAAGCAAAAACTGGCAAAATTATAATATAAGAATAGCATAAGTAATTATTAATATAAATATTTTTTACTCTAAATTGGCGAATATTTTTCAGGTTTGGCATTGTTCCGTAACTATATGGAGTGTCTCTATGGGAAATGCGCGATAACGGCAGTAGTCAAAAATTATTTAAATATACATATCTAGAGTAATCTCTAGAGTAAAAATGATATAAACAATTATAATTGCCAGTTTGTTGAATTAGTATGTTTTATAATGTAATGGCATGAAAAACAAAAAGATTTTATGATTTTGTCTGGTGTAAGCAACGCTTTTTTGTACACATTACATGCACGTCACTGCTATCTAGCTGTATTTAGAAATTTAGGAATATAGCATGCAGACGTACATATGTATCTACAGGGTCCGGCAACAGTGCGTCGGGCATCTGTAGCTCCTAGAATAAAAAACTTGAGAATTTTATTTAAGTGCAAACCTAAAGTATGTACCAGGATGTATTTCAGGAAAATATTTTAACTTCTATAGGGTAGCTCAAAAAAGTTCGAGTGGACTTGGATGATTTTTTTTAAATGGAACACCCTGTATATTATTGCAATTTTGGCTTCCTTTCAGATCACTTTACATAACCCTAAGATACGAATAAATAAATTTCGATAGTGTCAGAGATATTAAAAAATAAATCAAAAATATTTATTTTTCAGCCCTTCTTAAAAAAATTATTAAAAATACAAGAACTGTTCTGAAATCAAAACTATTATAGGTATTATTTACTTTAGATGGTTTGTACTACTTTGCTATAAATATGAAAATCGTAAATTATAGGATATTTCAGAAAATTCTATGCCAAAACTTTCTAAAATATAAAATAATTTTTCTTCGTTTTTTTAAATAGAACACCCTGTATATTATTTTTTCAATAGACGGAGAATTAAAAAACGAACATTTTTTGTATTTAGAGTATTTCAAAATTTTGAACGGTTTTGCAGATATTTGCGGTTTTATATTTCGTATGGCATTTTTTACAGTAAATTTTTATCAAAGCCACCCAATGATTTTTCTCTCGTATTTTTCCATTGAAAGCGCCATATGAAATAATACTGCGTGTATCTGCGAAACCGTTAAAAATTTTGAAATACTCTAAATACAAAAAATGTTCATTTTTAACTCGATCTAATAAAAATAATATACAGGGTGTTCCGTTTAAAAAAACAAAGAAAAATATTTTTATATTTTAGAAAGTTTGGTAGAATATTCAACATCCTGTATGATTTACGATTTCCATATTTATACAAAGTAAGAACAGACCATCTAAAGTAAATACCCTAATATATTTCTTTGATTTCAGAACAGTTCCTGTATTTTTAATATTTTTTTTTTAAGAAGGCCTGAAAAATATATATTTTTGATTTATTTTGACTATCTCTGAAACTATCGAAATATATTTATTCATATCTTAGGGTTATGTAAAGTGATCTGAAAGAAGCCAAAATGCAATAATATACAGGGTGTTCCATTTAAAAAAAAAAATCATCCAGGTCACACTTTTTTGACCCACCCTATAGAAGTTTACATATTTTCCTGAAATACATCCTAGTACATACTTTAGGTTTGCACTTAAACAAAATTCTCAAGTTTTTTATTCTAGGAGCTACAGATGCCCGACGCACTATTGCCGGACCCTGTATATTGAACTCCCTAAAATAATATGATGAGATAATCAACTGGTATTGATAAGCTGTACTTGGAATTAATTTACAATTTTTAACAACTTTTATAACACCCCTAAGTGTCTTTTTTGTTTCTTCTCCTTAGACTTTTCAATGTATTTTTTTTAATATATAAATTGCGAATCATAAGTTTACTAATTATGAAAACTATAAATAGATACCTGCATAAATTAAAACGATATATAAAATCTAATATTTAATATATATTTAGTTATATCTGAACCTTTATTTACACCTAAATACTTAATATTTATTAATGTTCATTTCGTAAATATAATATTTTTGAAGTAGTTTTTATGAATTTGCAGTATTGCAAGACTTGAAGTAGCTTTGTATTAAAGTGCAATTTAATAATATACCGAGTGCGTCGTAAAAGAGCCACTTAAACCTCTAGAATTTTTTATTTATTCGGATAAAAAACGAGATTTGCTATTTTAGTATACGACATAAATTAGGATTGATTGACGTATTCAATTCTTTTCGGTCACTGTTTCACCTGAAATTACTACAACTTTTAATTTTTAAATTACACCCTCGGTATTGTTTCACTTTATTCGATAGAAAATGACACTCTGTATAGAATGATATGTCATATGTCAACTTTTGACATTCTCGCTTAAATAAATGTATTTTAAATTTGAATCTAGAGTGTCATGGTTGTATTAAAAACACTAATTCTTAATCAAGGAGCCTGGGAAAAATATATTTGATTGTCTAATGTTTATAGAGTCATGCCCAAATCGTATTTTTAATCATATCTCAATTTTTTCAAATGGAACGTGCTCATTAACTTATTTGGAAAAAGCATTTTTTTACGAATAATTTGGTGCCACACACATTTAGTATTTCGAGTCAAATTGTCGTTATGAACCGCATAATATTACAATTTCAAATAAACCATATGCGAAAATATGAAAAGTTGACATATGATATGTCATTCTATTCAGAGAGTCATTTTCTATAGAATAAAGTAAAAAATTCCGAGGGTGCCATTTGAAAATCAAAAACAGTAATTTCCGGAAGAATTCTCATACCCTTTATATTATTATGAGTATTGCCACTAAAATAAAATACTTAAAATTAAAAAAGAACAATTTAAACACTTTCTAACAAATAGTACAGTATTGGCAAAATTATATTTAGTGACCAGTGGTCAGTACTATATTAAACAGCCTGTAATATCTTAAAAATATTCAAAACGTTCTTGTGTGGTTTAGTTTATTCACATTACCAAGGTTTTTAAATACGTTAAATAACACGTAAAGTCCGTCCAATGAGTCAGGAAAGATTGTGACAGAGGTCGTCCTCTGTCACAATGACAGATATCTCTGAATTGAAATGAAATGCAACAAGTGTCACTGTTATGGAACCCCTCGTTGGGCAGACTTTAGTTTAATAGCTTACTATTTGATTAAAAAACGGTTAGTTACCCGCTATTTATATTTTTGTGAACAGTTTGAGTTTTGTTAGAGAGTGACAGCCCTGACGGAAATTATTTTTCCAGTTTGTAAGAAAAATCTTGCGCCAGTGGTCGGATGACATCGGATTCTTGATTCTGGTAAGTTACATGTGAAATATGTGAATCTCTTGCATGAACATAACTTTGGTTTAATTTTTTTAGTAACTTTCGTTATTTTGTGTTTTTGTATATAACAAATTTATATTTAAAGAATAACAATAGAGAAATTCAAGGTAGACGATTGTTTTTAACAACAGCTTTTTGTTTCAGAATTAGACGAAAGCTCTCAAGATGTTTTAGAAATAGAAATTGGCACTACATGGATTGTTTTACACACAAACGCTTAACTGTTTTGATGTTTTATTTTTTGCATTAGAGATAGAACACTTAATAATTATTGTAAAAAATCAATGTTAGATTTTTGTTGTCTCAAATCCTTAAAAACTATCGTATATGGGGGTGTCTTATTGTACTTAATATAAATATAATTAAAAAAAAATTCTATTAATAAAAATAACAAGATATTATTTCTAACTTTTAATAATCTAAAATATTTATTATTAAGTCGGATAAATTATCAAATTATCAAAATTCTGTTTTAAAATTTTTTTAAAAAATAATCAAAAAATTACACACCAAAATAAGTATGATTTATATATATGTATGTTTTTTTTAATATCTGTTTGATTTGTAACGTAATTTCTGTAGCTAGATAGAAAATAAAACTATGACTGGGTGTATACAGAAAGCAAAACTGATTTAGTCAAAAATATGTTTGTTTCTTACAAAATAGCTTTTGTCTTTTATAAAAACATTATGTTTCGAAGAATATGGCAGCAGGTACAGATGCATTGAGGCATCACATGAAAACAGTTTTTGTTAAAAATGTATTTGACTAAAACTGTTTTGTTCCTTCTGTGTCCGTCAACCCTAACTTAATATAGAAAATAAGTTAACATGATTTAAAGTACATGCCCTATTTATGAATATAAAATAATATATTATGAATACTTTTTATCCTCGTTGTGTATATTATAACAAATATTTTATTGTTTGTTCTTAATGACATTTGTAACTTAAAAAAAAACACCTTTAACTTTTACAATAATTGAAATACTGAACAAATATCATTATTGTATTAACGAATTTGATAGTTTCAAGATAATACAGGGATTTAACGGAAATGGTTCATTAGGAGCTTTTTTAAGATCTAATTTAGATGTAAATTTGAATGTTTCAAGTTAAGGTTATTTCTAGATATACTTTTTTTTAAATATTTTCCATTTTTAAGAAAGTATCTATTATTTTGCTTAGAAATTGTTTTACTCTACTTAAATGTATACAAAACTTATCAAATATTATACAGGGTGCTCAGAAAAATGTTTACAACAAAAAAACTCGTTTTTTTTAATGGAAACACCTATTTTTCTTCTTTTTAGTTTATCTGTTTATATTATTGTATGTAGGTCTAATGAACTTGATTTTATTTTTGATGGCAAATAAATTAAAAATCAAAAAAATGGGTGTTTCTATTTACTATTTACTAAATATTTATATTACTATTTTCTATTTACTACACTTTTATAGTTTTGTTATACGGTTTAATGTAATGTAAAACTAAACGCATAGGCTGTGTGATTTTATTTGCAATCATAATAGTTTTCTAA